CTTAGGTATGAAATCTGTTATTTCAGAGCCTCCCCCTAGCTGATGATATAATAGTCACAAAATGTGGTATCCAATCCATGCTGAAATTTATTTTTATAACCCAGTTATATGGACCAATTTCCAAATATGCAGCCAGCAGTTATGTTATCCTAATTTTTTTACTAATATGTATGAACACAAGAAGTGCTTTTATAGTATGGCACTAGCAGTAGCAGATCCTTGCATTCAAGAAATGCTCCCTCACCAGTTCATGAACCTTCACAATTTGAAATGAACTCTCATTCAGTGCTGGGAAATAATTATCTCCTCTGCTTGACATGGCAGAACAAGATTGCAAACAGTGGGAAAAGTCTTAATTTGTCTGGCCAACAAAAGGATATTACTGGGATTTTAAAAATAAGCCCTCAGAGTTGAGCTTTTCGGGCATCACGGGGGTGGGGAGCCTAAGAGAGTGATGCAGGAATCGATTGTCCTTTTGTGGTCTAAATTTTTCAAATGATTCACTTCTCAAAACTAAAGTGAAACCTGGATGAAGCAATAGATAGAAGGTGCACTCCCTTTCTTTCCTGCAAAAGAGCACTACTATCAGGTAGAAGCAAGGAAGATGAGATTTCTTTTCTTTCTTAATCTCAAGAGTGACTCAGCCACCCCTTTTCCCATATGAGACTGAGATCATGAGTAACCAGGAAAGCTCCAATCTCTCTGGATATATCTCATCAACACAGTTTGACAAGATACAGCTGGGGGACACATGCATACTGAAACTAGTTCTCTTGGCTCACTGGCGCTCTCCTCTCTCCTGGGCTATGTCTACACTGGCACGATCTTGCACCAGAGCTATGCAAATGAGGCTAAGCATGGAATATCACTGAGCCTCATTTGCATATCTAATGAGCCACCATTTTTGCGGAAGAGGCTCTTGCGCCAGAAGGAGCTGTCTACACTGCCCCTTCTTGCACAAGAAAAACCCTCTTGCGCAATGCCGTTATTCCTGAAAATAATCAGCGTAGCAGCATTGCGCAAGAGGGTTTTTCTTGTGCAAGGGGCAGTGTAGACAGCTCCTTCTTCCGCAAAATGGCGGCTCATTAGATATGCAAATGAGGCTCAGTGATATTCCACACTTAGCCTCATTGCATAGCTCTGGCGCAAGATTGCGCCAGTGTAGCCATAGCCCTGGAGTAGTAGCTGTGCCACTGCTGCTGATGGGGGAAGAGGAGTCCTAATGCCTCCCTGTTGCCCCAGCTGCTGCTGGCAGCCACTTTGGCACTGCTTGCTATGTAACTGCTCTGGTGCTGCTGTAACAGCTGCTGCTCCAGAGGGGATGCCACAGAGCGGGCTCCTGCTTCCTCTGCCCATTCCCACGGCCTCTTATCTGCCGTAGCCCCTCTCCTTTTCTTCCCCGTCTTATCCCACTCTCTCTGACCACACCATTATCCCTCCCTCCCCATCCCATTCCCATTGCCATGCCCCCTTCTCTGGGTACTCACCATCACACGGGAAACTGGCAGACACTGGGAACAAAGAGGCCATGTCCAGCTGCTGAGGCAGCAGCAGGGAGCAGAAGAGAACACCCGCCCTCTCCATTCCCTGTGAACAAAAGGGCTGTGTCTACATTGGTGAGATCTTGCGCAAAAACAATCACTTTTACGCAAAAACTTGCTGCCTGTCTACACTGGCCTCTTGCGCAAGAGGCCAGTGTAGACAGGCAACATTAATCTCTTGCGCAAGAAAGCCCTATGGTTAAAATGGCCATCAGAGCTTTCTTGCGCAAGAGAGCGCCTACACTGCCATGGATGCTCTTGCGCAAATGCACATGGCAGTGTAGACGCTCTCTTCTAGAAAAGCAGCGAGGAGTCCTGTGGCACCTTATAGACTAACCGAAGTGTTGGAGCATAAGCTTTCGTGAGCAAAGACCCACTTCGTCAGATGCATGATGAAGTGGGTCTTTACTCACGAAAGCTTATGCATCTGACGAAATGGGTTTTTGCCCATGAAAGCTTATGCTCCAACACTTCAGTTAGTCTATAAGGTGCCACAGGACTCCTCGCCGCTTTTGCAGATTCAGACTAACCTGGCTACCCCTCTGATACTCTCTTCTGGAAGAGTTTTTGCACAAGAACTCTTCCAAAAAAGAGTTCTTGCGCAAGATCATGCCAGTGTAGACGTAGCCAAGGTGTGTCTTCTGGTGGAGAGGACATGCAGTAGGGGAAGGACAAAGCCCTCCTCCTTCTGGTAGGCCCTAGCAGAGCAAACCCTGCAAGGCAGCTTGGCCCCTGGGTCAACCTCATTTGTGTGTAGTCAGAAGGGGGGTTAGACTTGAATGCGAATCTGAGCCCAGGCTTATACTGAGTGACAATATACTTACCGTTCCTATATTCTTATCCACAGCTACTGTATGTATTTTTGGGCAGCTCTATAGCATAGCAGAAAATGAAACATCTGAAAAAGTAAAAACAGCTTCTTGTACATCGATGGACCCCCTCTTTTAACTGCATATGTCATAATATTTTTTTTAAAAATAATAAATTTTCTGTTCATTCATATTTTGACAACTATATGGAGACTGCAGTTCTAGATAAAAACTGCTTAATCTTCATTAATTTATATTTCTGGTACAGAATTGTCCAGTAGTGAGAGCACAATCCTTGTACTTAAGCAACCCAGGTTTAAGTACCTGCTCTACTAGACTTCCTGTAACTCACTCAGGGAATGTCTACACATGCAGTGGAATGGCTGCACCAATGCAGTTGCAACAGTTTGGTGAAAACACACTGTGCTAATGGGAGAGAGCTCTCCCGTGAGTGTAATAAAACCCAGCTCTGCAAATGCTCTGTTGGCAAGAGAAGCTCTTCCTCCAACATAGCAGTGTGCACATAAGTGCTTCTGTCCATGTAACTTATGTTGCTTGGGGGATGGAGTATGATAAGGAATGTCAACATAGGCTGTAATGTAGAAATGGCCAGAGTCATGGAGCCACTGAAATCAATGGGAGTTAGTTGAATCCTTTGATGATCTGGGTTTTAACTTCTCTCCCCCTCAGTTTCCCACCTATAAAATGGGAACAGCACCATTTCACTATTTTACAGAGGTACTGCAAAAATGTGTGCAATGAAAGATTTGATACTCATTACAGAAAAATACATCAGTAACTAAAAGATTATTATGTCCTTTTTTAATTTGGCATGAATGGGGCCTACTTAAGTGTCAAGGTAAAAAATTATCATATTGGAGATGAAGTGGGATCTGAGGAAATACCTGCCAGAATAAATGCTAATAGATAAGGGATTAAACTGAAATCCTCATGCTAATCAGTTGGAGCTTAGATGTTAAAGGAAAATGGAATTGAGCTGATAAAACCATGGAATGGCTTTCTTACAAGACCAGAGCATTGTGGGACAGATTCTTATTGACATTGCAAATGCTTTACACTTCTCTGGTAACATAAAGGGGCTTTGAAATTTGTCAATTTATTTACACCCCATTTGAGGCCCATTCATGCTGTCAGGTGATGTAAAGCAGCCATAATGTAACTGAAAACCAGCCCTTCAATTGTAGTTTTAGCATAACAGTCACAGTTGCTTTAACTGTCTATATATTACTCTATAACAAGCTCAAGAGATTTCAAACAAATCAAATCCAAAGAGTTCTGAGGTTGAAGGGTTTTTTTTTTTGTTTTGGTTTTTTTTAGGAGAAGCATTTTAATGTATTTCACACATTGTAAAATATTTATAGTGAATTACATAATATCTGTACATCAGATTTGAAACATCAGTAATCTCTCTCAGCAATTCCTTGCCTATAAATTTTTTAACAGCATGGGTAACTACAAACATTCTGGGTATTTGTGGACATGAAGGTCCATGCAGCGGGATTAATTTAGCTTTGTAAAAGTAACTGATACTTTTCCTTTCTGAGTAAACATCAGTTTATTCCCTCTTGCTCCCTTCTGATTATAAAGATATACATCTGAATGATTTCATAATGGCATAAGGAATAAGGGCAGGACACTGTATATATAAAAATGAGCTTCCCCACATGATAAAATCAGCAGTGTAATCACATCTCACATTAAAATACTAAATATATTGTGTAATACAAGAAAGTTTCACCAGTTTAGAGGACAATGAAAATAGCTACATTTTAACTCACTCCTTAATTTTTCTGTGGAGAATCTCGCTAAGTGGTGAAAAGTGTCACAGCTTGTTGGATTCCCTCCTCCCCCAAAGATAAACAGCAAATTAGTTTAGAAAAAAGTGGTTGAAATTAGCTCGAACTCTAACTTTAATGAGTTCAATGAGGCTAGACAAAGACACAAGTTGCTCATTGCCACATACAATACAGTTAACAGATTCAACTTTTTACCTGAGCAAAAAGAATTTCACTATTTACTAGAACATGCAGCATTAACCAGTTAATATATATATAAATTGAGCACACTGTTCCTCGGTTACACTGCATTCAGATATTTTTAATCTGGTGGCTGATGGGAAAAGATCCAATGTATGATGTGTGTGACATAAAACCACAAACACTGAAATGCACATTAATATTCAGCAGCGTTTCTAAAGGATCAAATTTTGTCCTACTCTATTATGTAGGAATAAAGCAGGAATAATTCAAAACCCATAGGCTACGTCTATACTACAGGCTTCTTGTGCAATCACTGTTTTGCGCAAGAGTTCTTATGCAAAAGTTCTTGTGCAAGAGTGCGTCCACACTGCCATGTGCTTTTGCGCAAGAGCGCCCATGGCAATGTGGACGCTCTCTTGCGCAAGAAAGCTCTGATGGCTATTTTAGCTATGGGGCTTTCTTGCGCAAGAAACCCCTGTTGCCTGTCCACACTGCCTTCTTGCAGAAGAGCTCTTTCACAAGAGGGCTTATTCCTCATGGGGAGAGGAATAACTCTTGTGCAAGAAGTCCTGTTTTCCGACACATTACTGTAAGTTTACTTGCGCAAGAACATGCGTGCAGTGTAGACGCTCTGCAAGTTTTTGCGCAAGAACAGCTATTCTTACGCAAGAAGCCTGCAATGTAGACGTAGCCATAGAGTTAATGGTACTTTAAATACAGAGCAGTGCCTAGAAATTCAAGCACTAGCATTTCCCTCCATTTAAGAAGTGCTTACAAAAGACCTGAGTCCGCATTCCTTATCTGCCCCAAATTCTCTTTTAAATGTGTTGGCCTATTTAGCTCGCTTGACTGCAGAATGAAAGGTCTAATATGTTGTGAATATAGAATCAAGCCCCAAATGTGTATTTTTCTCCCAAGCATAACTGTGGCTATGCCATAAGGAATTATGTATTACTCCATTTGTTTTAGCAGAAACCAAATTACAAATTAGGTAGAAACTTTAACTGTCCTGATCTAAATGCTCTATTATAGTAGTAGTATTTTGATTTTATGAATTATTCTGTGGCAACCCTATTCATATTAAATGAAGCTTCAGGGAGTAGCTGAGTTAGTTTGTACAGAATAAACAAAAAACAACAAATGGTCTGGTCTATAAAGTGCTACCAGAACATTTGTTGTTGTTTAAGTTTATCATATTAAATTAGGCAAAAAATAGTGAGGTATAGTCTCCTTAAGGAAACCCTTATTTAGTACTGCAGTTGCAGAAGGGAAGAGAAGTATGAGCTTCTATGCTGATCTCCAGCCTCACTCTTAGCATGCTTTGAGTGCTGAAGGACTCTCTATTTGCAGCATATAGTGTCCACACTGTCAACTCCCAGTTGGCTCTTGAAAAAGTATTCATCCCTTTTAGGGCAAGAACAGCAAACTCTTTTCTTGCCTTTGTCATTACTGCTGCCTTAGCAAAAGGTTGGGGTGCAGACTTCTTTCCAAACACAATACAGACAGTAATTATATATGGGCTATGGTAATCAACTCCCTATGGAATCATAGGGCCGATATTTTAACATGCTGGTTTTCTTTCATCTTTTACGATTAAAAACCTAGATATTAAAAGTACATCTGTCAAAATGGATCTTTCTCTGGCCAGAGTGTGTTCCTTCCTTCCTGTATAGCCGACTGACTTAGACGCTGGTAGGGGCTCCAGTGCAATGATTCTTTTTTGCTTCCAAGTTCTTCTTGGCTTTAAATGCTCCCGAAAGCTCAGGGTGAATGGAATCGAGCCGCTGCTCACATTGGAAGGCTGCGAGGAAAGCTGTCCTGTAGTTGCTGTTCATCCAGCCATAGAGAAGGGGGTTAGCAAAGGTTGAGCACATGGCAATGACATGAAACACTGTGTAGATTAGCTTGTACTCCTTCAGATCTAACACCTTACTGTCAATGTCACTGACAAGCTGGAAAGTGTGAAAAGGAAGCCAGCTTACAGCAAACACCACAACTACACATACCAGCATCTTGGTGGTCTTCCGCCGCCGCTGATGGTAACTGTCATTCCCAGCCCCGGGGCTGATATGGTTCTTTAGTTTGGTCCAGATACGGGTGTAGGCATACGAGATGATCGCTAGAGGGAAAACATATTGGATCAGGAGCATAGAGACACTGTAGATGGTGCCATAGTTGAGTTGCCCCTCGCCAGGCCACTTCTCAGAACAGACCACAATCTTGAAATCAGGAATGATCTCAATCAGAGAGTACTCCCGAAAGATGGCCAAGGGACTAGCCAGTAGTGCACTGATAGCCCAGGCCACTCCAATGATCAGGAAGCTTATTCGCTTGGAGATTTTGCTCTCCAAGTGGTAGACAATGCAGCGATGACGGTCCAAGGCGATCACAGTCAGGGTGACAGTGGACACATGCACTGCAAGGCCTTGGGCATAAGGCACCAGGTGGCACAGCACCGGGCCCAGTTTCCATTCTCCCAACAGTGTGTAAACTAAAGTGAAGGGTAGGCACAGCGTGTTCACTAATAGATCAGCTACAGCCAGGTTGGCAATGAAAAAGTTAGTCACGGTGCGCATGCTCTTAAACTTGACGACCACGTGGATCACAAGGGAGTTGCCCACCACACCCAACAGGATGATGAAACAGTAGGCAATGATGAGAATGATCTGCACCTCCACCAGGTTGGTACTGTCTTTCAGTTCTGGTTTGGGGTCAGATGCTAGTTCACTGAGTGGTGTGGTGAGGCCTGGCAAGTATAGCCTAGTGTACAGCTCCATTTTTACTTCACTTGTGTGGTTCTCTTCACTCAATACTCCCATTGGACCCATGTTGTCTCTTACGTGGACTGTCTGAAACACAACAAAAATACAGAAAATTGGAGTAAACCAAATACTGTGTATGCAGGCTTCACCCAAAACATACCAAAAAAAAGTTTAATTACAACAAACAGAATTAGCAATAGGATTTTGTTTTTATTAATAAAGTCTGGTTTCAAAAGGAAGTTAGACTTTCAGATGAATGACTCTATAATCTGAAGTTACAATAGCTACATTAAGACCACAAGAGAGATTTGGTTAGGCTCTGGGGCATAAATGCCACCAGATATGTTCAGCAAGAAATTTGCCTAAAGTTACAGTACTGCCTTCCTCTGAAGCTGGGGGCATTGGCCATAATCAGAAGTGAGATATTGGACTACTGAAGACGAGCCACTGGTCTGATCAAAGATAGCATGTGGTACATCCACACTTTCTCATTCATTCAAAGCCCATTCCTGCAAGCTTTACACAGGCATAATTCTTGTTAAAAAACTGAGATACAATTCAAATGCATTTGAAGACAGCAGAGTATACGTACTTGGACAAAGAAAGGATTTGGATCCTGATGAGCAATATGTTCTTTGTTAAGAATGAATAGGCCAAACCACTAATGACTTTTGCACAAAACTACTGTCGATACCAGTGGGAATTCTACAAATAGAGCATTGATTCCTTACAGCCCAATGTCAGCCTAACGATATTCCAAACTTTCACCAAGGGAAGAGTGACAAGTAGTTCCTCAAAGAATTGCCAATATTCAACATTTCATTCATCTATACTTAGCTAATAAATACAAACATACTGCTTTGCACTGTTAGGATAAATTCCTGGAATTTTCCTTCAAGAAAGTCAGCATCACAAGTGCAATAAAAAATCAGAATAGCTGAAAAACATTAGTAACATTCTAGGTTGTATACATAACCCACTAGAAGATTTATCTGGTATTCCTTGGATCCTTAACTCAAGGAAATTTTATTTTCCTTCCTTTACATCATTGTACTAGGGCGGGGCTAGGGATGAGGGTTTCAGTATGCAGGCTGCCCCTGGGTGAGAGCCCAGCCCTCTCTCAGTGCAGCAGATTGGGACCAGGTGAGAAGTACCTGTCCATAGCCGCTGCAGGTCCAGAGGTCACAGCCAGGAAAGGGGTGCATGTCCCACACCTGGGGGACAAACAGATACACAGACAAACTCTCTGAAATATATCGTAGACAGCTATCCCTTTCTCCACCCCTGCCCCCTGCTTGCCCAATGTGGTGATAGCTGTTCTGGTCCGCATCTCTGGCCTCTTGCTGCCCTCTGTGGTCATTCTGCAGTATAACTGTCCCTCCTGTCACACCCCTCTCTTTCCATTTTATGAGAAACAATCAAATTACAGGCACATCCCATTGTCCTGGCACAACCAAACCATGACCTTGCTTTAGGTTATAAGAAGAAGCTGCATACCAAATTTAGCGATCCTAGCTCTTATCATTTAGGAGGAGTTCTTGAACAAACTGATGCACATTTCTGAAATACATAGTAAAACTAAGTTCGAATTAAACAAAGAAATAAAAACTAGGTAATATTTCTTTTATAGTGGAAGGCTTGCAAAAACAATTTTCTCATCTGAAGTTGCCAACCAAGTTTTTTACTACAGTGAAAGCAAACAGTGGTCACATCCTCCTCCCTTGAGATTAATGGGATTTTTGGAACAGATAACAAAATCACATTGTTGCCTTTGCACATATTGAGCTAAATTCTGCTCAGCTACATGCATGCAACCTCAGATTTCAATAAGATTGCATGGATATAACTGAGCAAAATCTGTTTTAAGTATTTAAAGTATGGCAGGGTTAATTTGTAACTTGCACTATAATTAGGACACTACAAGATTCATGGTCATAGGATTTTAAAATCTGAAATTTGATTTCAGCTATTTAAATCTGAAATTTCAGTGTTGTGATTTTAGAGGTCTGTATTGCCAAGAGGCAATGGTTCTTCCCTTATTTGGAGGCAATAAGCACACAAATTGGGTGAAGGCTTAAAGATTTTACTAAGCAAATCTTAGAATAAAATACAATACTTATTAAGCCTAAGCAAACCTCAAAATAAAATACGCTTACTAAAGCAATACAATTCTTATTAAGCCCAAGCAAACCTTACAGTAAAATGCAATGCTTAATAAGTACAATACTTATCAAACCTAAGCAGATATCAGAATAAAATGTAATGCCTACATCCCTTCTGCTGCCGGGAACCCCCTGAAGAAGGACAGTGGATAGACCCCAGTGGTCAGTGCGTAGCACCTTCTGCGGCTTTGGTCTATGTCGAAGTTCCAATGTTAGGAATATCCCCCTTACTTATGTACTGTTGGATCTATAGTAATCATCCCTGTTGTTTTGAGAACCTAACAAGATCATTGATACATTGCATATTTTTCCACATCCAATAATTAGCTTGTTGATACATTGCATATTTTCCCGGGCCAAATAATTAGCATTATCAGGTGGGAAACATTCAGCAAAGATACCTATATGATCTTCCCAAGCCCTCCTGTACTCCCATACAAGGTGCATGGCTTTGGGACCTGTCCCAGAACTTGTTGAAAGTCAACAGTGCATTCTACACTGTACCATCTTGAGCAAACAGCTAACTCTTTGAGAATAACAAAAGAATAATAAAAAGCAAATAGCACAAATGGCTGCCTAGAGCATCCAGGCCTGTAAGCAAATAAGGAACGACTGTGGTACACCACCTAATTTCCATGACCTCACAATCATTTTCTGCATTTCCACTATAAGGTCCTGACCCAATAAGAAGTTTTGAGGAGAGGTCGCAATCAAGAGTATTGGGAGTGGCAAATGGAAAACTCTGGTTGTTGGCCAGGAGCCCAGCTTTGAAGGCAGAATCATCAGCAGTACAGAAACAATCATGGTACTGTCACCTTGACTTCTGGGCTGCTGCCTGAACAGTTGGGCCCTCTATCAGCAACCACCTTCCTGGCCACCCAGCTCTAAAGGCAACAGTGCAGAAGTAAGGGTGGTAATACCCCCCCCCCCCCGACAACATCCTTTTGGATCAGGGTTTCCCCCCATTGAAGTAGTACTGGTCTCACATGTGAAATCTGTAGAGTATACTGTAAAAGCACACAAAAGATATCATGGTCTGTGACATGTTTTTCATGCCTGTGAATTTGGTAGGGCCCTCACTATAATTCTGTGCAAAGTGAGTAAAGAAAAGTAAATAGCTAGTTCTAGGTGAGCTGCCCAGATGGATTAAAGAGAAAGAAGGCACTGTGCACCTACTTACTCCTCCTCCCGGAGTAGGTAGGTAGCCTTAGATGGAAAATAAGCAGATCCTTGGCTCTACTTTGTAATGCACTGGACAGGACAATTAAACCAGTGTGGGGATGTCAGAATTTGCTGCTGGTAGAGGCCAGTTGCGATTTATTAATTTTTCCTCCTCCTTATTCCCTGCCCCCCTCTGACCCTTCCAGAGTCAGAGGAAACAGGGAAGAAACTGCGCTTCAGAGACAGGAGTCTCTGAGAAACAATGACTCCTAGGGTTACTCTTTTACTCTGGTGTGGTGCAAATTATGCCCTATCCTTCAGTCGGGTCTCTGCCTGTAGACAAAATGTTGCTATTAATGTCTGCAATTCAATATTGCTTTTCTTTACAGCAGGTCCATGGTAGATTTCTTTTTAATTTCCAGGGAAACCATGCTTTAACATAAATGTATTTCTTGGGTGGGATTTCCTGTGCTAGTTGGATTTTTTACATCTTGCTGCTGTTTCTGGTTATGGGGTCTGGACACCATCAGGCTTCTGCACCTAATGTGGTCCCCCAAGAGGTGACTAGATCTTCTGTGCTCTGAGTGCATCCCACACAGCATCACAGGCAAAATTTGAATGAAGGGTCTTGTAGGTTAAAAGCAACAGTTTGATTACATGAGCTGAAAAATAACTTCCCTCAAGCTAAGCCAGTAAGAATTGCGCCATCCTCTATGCACCTAGGAACAAAAGGTGAAGGATTGCCATTAGATGGGGTACCAGAGTTTTGACTCCTTGCATAAGGAGACATTGGCTAGATCTTGGAGGAAAACACACTATCATACCAATTTTCTTTCCCTTCCTTTTCTCAAAATATTTCTTCCTACTTTTTTTCTGTATTCCCCTGCCTTCTCCTGCCTCCTTTAAAGGGAAAAAAAAGCAATTAGCTTCAATCCTGCCACTTTTTTTCTTTGTTCCAATACTGTGTGGAGTTTGCTCCTTTTGAAGGTAGTATTTCTTGTTAACACAGCACAGTTGGGAAAGGTTTGAAACTCCAGCAGAGAAGAAATAATGTTCTGTTAACAAATTAGATAAACAGGATAAGTTCTACAATATTAACGTGCACAGTTGGTGAGGAATCAAGTTCTCCCACAGTACTATAGAAACCACACGTCTCTCTGATCTATACTATCTGCTGTGTCCTGTCTGCACTGAACCTGTCTATTCTTTCCCAACAGAAGCTCTTCAATTGTCTCTCTTGCACAGCAGCAGATGTTGTCACAACTAACGTTTCGAATATCTAATCACTGCAGTTACTTTCCACAGCTCTAAATAAATTGTTCATAACTTTGTGGGAATGATGGAATGTAGAGCATTTACAGAGAAGTAATGAGAAACGGAGAATCAAAAGGGAATAATGCAGCCCACTGATAAGGGATTAGCTTCTTTAATATGCTGCATTTGTAAAGCATCTGGGATTTGGCTAAGGTGAACTTGGATGTAAAAATGTTTAATAGGATGCCCCCCCACATTCTCCAAGCTTCATTAAAAAGCCTCTGTGCACTTTTCCAAGGCCACTGCCCCCCAGACTACGGCGCGACCCCCTTGCTGCGCCTGATGACCAGGATCTACACAGCTGCACTGAAGCCAGAACCGTGCGCTCCGGATCGAAGATTGCGCGCGTCGAATATTAAACCCTGGGGTCCCCAGTGTGTGTCTGCATCGGGGGCGGTGCCCTTAACCCCCTCGCGCTGGCAGGGCGCCGCTGAGGCGAGCCGGGAAGGGGGGTTACGGTCCCTGCGCCTGGTTCCAGGAGCTGGGGCGTGGCCCA